AGCCCCGTGAACCAAAAAAAAAAAAAAAAAAAAAAAAAAAGATTTATTATTTATTTTATTCATTTTTGGCTGTGTCGGATCTTAGTTGAGGCATGCGGGATCTTTTGTTGCGGCGCGCGGGTTTCTCTCTAGTTGCGGCACACGGGTTTTCTCTCTCTAGTTGTGGCGCGCAGACTCCAGGGCGCATGGGCTCTGTAGTTTGCGGCATGCGGGCTCTCTGGGTGAGGCGTACAAACTGAGTAGTTTGGCACGTGGGCTTAATTGCCCCGTGGCATGTGGGATCTTAGTTCCCTGACCAGGGATCGAACCCACGTCCCCTGCATTGTAAGGTGGATTCTCTACCACTGGACCACCAGGGAAGTCCCCAAATATTTTCCTTTGAATGTTACTTTATTACTTTGCTTTTGCTTTTCTCTTCAAGGTTGCCCTTTTCTTGTCTTGCCCAGATCTTACCCATAGAGGACTTAGGAGAAGTCAGCACTTTGCAACCCAACCTGACCTCCTTGGAGGAAAATCTTTTTCTGAATTTCACAAAGCACCTGAGATGTGGTGTTTGCAGCTTCCCGTGTACTATAGCATCTGCTATCCCATATAAACCTCACGCCAGTGCTGTGAGGTGGGGAGCTAAGTGATTTGCTCTGTGGCTGTGTGTAGTGTAGATAGAGGAGCTGGGACTGAACTCAGGTCTGGCTCGACTCCACAGATCTTTTTTCTCCACCCCCCAGGACTGGTCCTTTTGACCAACAGATGTATCTGTGTTGAAAAGAGCCTGTTTAAATCATAAACCAGAATCCATCCATGAACCAATAAGCCAGGCCAGGAGTCAGGTCATGAGTGAGGTGGGAGAAGGTGTTTGGTGCAGAGGCTGGTGGTGTCCCTGGCTCAGAAGGTTTGACAAGGAAGTTTAACCATCTGTCTTCTATTGAGTGGAACCCGAGAGACCCGAGCTCAGGTCCCAGCGGTGTCACTTCAGCCAGCTCAGGCAGTGTGGAGATGTGCCTCTGCCTCTCTGAACCTCAGTTTTGCCATCTGTGCTAGTGGTATCGTGAGGAGAAAGAGAGGTGGCACAGGTGAAACTCCTGGCACGTGGTGGGCATTCAAGCATGGCAGCTGCCCTTGTTACCCCTACTGGACTTGCACTTGTTGGGGGCTGGCTCTGCCCATGATGGAGGAGGAGGGACCCCAACCCTCCTGCTGGCTTGGGCCCAGAGGAAGCCAGGATGCCTTGTGAAGCCAAGGCAGCAGGTGTGGCCGTGGAGAGGCCACTGGGATTGGCCCTGGACACTGGTTCCTTTTCCACTGTTACCTAGACACACAGACTCCCTCTAGTTCCGGTTTGCTAGAGATAGGAAGTCAGACTTCTTCCAAAGGACCTGGAGGAGTCGGGGGCTGCAGGAACTGACCTTCCTTGGAAGTCAGAGACATCCCAGGCCTTGGAACAAGCTTCTGATCAGCTGGCTAGGAGCCTGGGGTAGGTGCTGCCAGCCTTGGGGGTAGGACATCAGGGCACGTAGCTGGGAGGTGTGGGCCCACAGACCCAGGCCCTGGGTGAGGCCCTTGCTTCTTTCTTACTTCCTTTGAGCAGGGGTGGGGTTGGGGACAGGGCCACCAGGAAGGATCAGACTGGCAGCCCTCAGAGCTTGGGCCCTGTCATTCAGGAAGTTGTACCGTTTAAATCTGGCACCATCTTGTGATCACAGCAGCCTCTTGCAGGGCAGATTTTTGGGGTTTGGGGCCTCTGAGGAGTCAGTCCTGTCACTTACCGGCTTTGTTATTTGGGGCCAGTCCCACCACCTCTTGAAGCCGGTTTCCCCTTCTGTAAAGGGAGGGTGAGAATTCCAACTTCATGGGGTATTAGGAGGATTAACTGAGACCATGTATGCAACGTGCCCAACATGGTGCCTGGTTACTAGTAAACGGCCATGATCCAGCCATTGCTTTCTGGTGATTATTATCACAAGGACCAGGGACTGAGTCCCCCCACTGCAGCAGGCCAGCAGTGGGGGGAGAGTGAACTAGTCGGTGACACAGCAG